TCCAACCCCCACCACTCTGTGACTCTGTGATCCTGGCCTTGGCTCATGTGGCTGCTCCATGGCTCATCCCACCAGAAGAGCTGGTATTAGAGGAGGACAAACACCACGGAGGTGGAGAAAACCCGAGTGTGGTGTGTGTGCTCACACAAAACACCCCAGTGGAGTGTCGCCGTCTCGTCTGTCCCCGCCTGGCCCGATTCCCCCGGGTTTATTTGCAGAGAAAGGGTTTATTTTCCTTTCCCAGCACTGCAACCACAAGACAAACACAACGAAACCTCTCAAGCTACTTCCCGCTTGGGCCAGGTGCCGGAGGACGTTGGTGGCATTTGACCCCACAGCCCTGGAAAGTCCCATCAGCACCACACACCCAGTTCAGAAATCCCAATGGGCTCAGTTCCAAAGTGGGGAGGCCCTGAGGACACCCCAAAACTCCCTGCTTTGGGGTTTTGTCCCTAAACCAAGGGATTGGGAATCAGGAGTTGATCATTGAGCTGTTGCCATCCCGGTGTCTCCAGTGCCAAGATTTCCAGCCCTACCCCCCAAAACACACTCACATCCAGGATTATTTCTTTGGCTCAGGACTTGGCGTCGCTGGGCTGAGACATCTCAGCCGTGTTTCATTTTTGAATGCGGGCGGAAAGGTCCCTACGGGCCAATTAATCTAGTTGCAATTAAAGACATTCATTATGTCATTATTCATAGGTGAAGACGTGAGAAGGACTAGGTCACTGGAGCTTGTTTTGAGTGTCCTGGACATCAGCCACTCCACAGAGCAGTCCCAAACTTGAGTAGTTTAATAGTGGAGTTGAAGCCAAGGAGCCCAGCAGGACCTGAGAACATCCATCCCCTTCCCGTTCACCGCTGAGCCCTCACCCCGTGGAAAACACATTTGGGATCTAAGGTACAAAAGGCCAAAGCTACAGTCGACAGCAGGAAGGAAACAGGAAAAACTTCGGCATCACCGTCCGGAGCCCAAAGAGACCTTTGGGGACATGTGGAACCGGATGCTTCCAACCAGACTTGGGTAATGCTGCCCATGGTTTGAGTGATGCTCCTCAGCTGGTGACAGGCAGGAAGCATCTCCTGGCTCAGGACAGAGGTTGTGATGCCACTAAGGGGTTGGCCTTGATGTCACCTTGGTGGCACAGAGGGAGCAGGTTTAGCCCTTACAGCATCCCCTGAGCTTTGGCAGTCAGGGCAGGACACCAGCACGGGGAGGTGTCCCATGGATTGTCCCCGACACCGACTTGGCTTGGAGAAGAAGCAAACATGACCCCATTGGAAGCCACCACCTCCTTTAATTCCCCGCTAGAGAAGCGAGGCCCAGCCCAGCTCAGAAATTACAAGGTTTTCACACCAGAAAAGCCCTCTGGCCCATGTCACGAAGCTGCTGGCAACCCACCGAGGTCAACGCTGGCCAATCTGAGCAGGGAAATGGTGACTTTTCCTCCTTGAAGACCCCTGCCAACTTCAACAGGCCACGGTGGGAAAGGAGCTGCCTCTGTCATCCCCATCCTCCCAGGGCTCAGCCAAGGGGGGTTTTGCAGAACCGGGACCTGCCCATGGGTCACACCTTGTCAGCTCCTGCCAGAGAGAAGCTGTAGCCTGGCCAGGATGTCCCCACACTGCTCACACCGAGGGTGGACACCTCCATGGGGACACCAGGAGAGGGGTTCTTGGCAGCTTTGGGGACAAGCTAGCCAGCAGCACTGTCCCATCCTACAAACAGTGGGGGTTGTACAGCAGCGACGTGACCCTAAACCCACCAACTCTTGGTGGACAAGGCATTGGGGGCCGAGCTCAGATCATGGAGACCCTGTTCTTGATGTAGACGTGATATGGGTCACTACGTTTGTCCACTTTGCGG